CATGTGAGTGTATCTGTAGGTGTCAGTGCATGTGTGCCTCTGAGGGTCTGTGTCTGTGTTTATAAGCATCAGTGACTATGTGGTTGTGTATGTGTGAGCCTGCATTGTGCCTGCCTGCCTCTGTGTGTGTAGCAGTGAGCCTGAGTGATGTTCCTGTATGTGTGAGCATGTCTGTGTCTGTACTGTGTGTACGTGTATGTGTCCACGGCAGGGTTTGTATAAGATAGTGGGTTTTAACCTCTTGGTGTAAGCCTGGGGTTGGGGAGAGCCTCAGTCTGTAGGATATGAATAGGACTTGCCCTGTGTCTCAGTGTCAGTTCTTATGTCTGCGCACACATGATTGTGTCTGAAAGCACGTGGGTCCAAACAATTTGGTTTGCAGGTGTGTGTGTGTCTGCATGTGCCCATGTGAATCGTGAATGTGTTTCTGCCTAGGCCTGTATTTCTATAGAAGGCGGGTTGTCTGTATGTGTGTGTTGTATATCTTTGTGATTTGCTGGTAGATGGGCACCTACACACATGCCAGACTCTTCCTTGAGGAGGGTGTGTGTGTGTGTGTACCTGATTGTGCTTATCAGCTGGTGTAAGTCCAGGTGTAAGTGCAAATTTGAACCTCCATGTACACATGTGCCTGTGTGCTAGTGTGTCTCTGCAATGTAACTAGATGTGAATGTGTTAGGGCATTCACAACCTGGCACACAGAGAAGGCAAACTATTTGTATGGCACACTGAAATAAACTGAAGAGGATTTAGGGGTACTAACATCTGGTGAAAAGAAATTTCTTACATTTTCATTATATTATACAAATTGTGGCAAGAAAAAGAAAAATGCAAAGTTTTAGGGGAATAATTAAATAATGAATTTGTATACAACCTTCAAATGAAATCTTTTCAGAGTTTTTTCATAGCACACTCGAGCTTGCTTCTGGAAACCAATTTTTTTCTACCCATGAAAATTCGTAGCAGTCCACATTCATGCTCACTCCTCTTGAGCCTTTGGTCATGGCTGCCGGGGCTTATTTTATGGTCATTTTCATCAGGATTTGGTAAATAAGTTGGTGCTGAGCATAGATCTCCTGCATCAGGTTACTGTGTTTCTTGGTAAAAACCCAAATGAACAAATGTAGCAAATAACTTAGCAGTTCTGACACGGATATAAACTTTCATCGGGGCCTGCCGTTTCTTGATCTTGGTAGGCATGCTGGTGGAGGTAAGCTCCATTCTTTGGAGGTTGTTCGGGCACTATTTACCTTAATGTCCTGGGTAATTAGCTTGAATGTATGAAGTACAGCTGCGAGCATGATTGGGCAGATAAGCAAAGCTCAGCTCAAAAGCAGGAGCCCTCGGGTATTCAGATTCCATTTCGGTTTCTCTGAAGCATCAGTTTCTAGTGTTGAATATGGCTGGTGCTTTCACACCATACCAACCTGTCTTCTTCCTGCTTCCCTTTTTCTCCTCCCTTTTATGGCTCACTTGTTCTTGCCCTGACCAGGAAAGAGACCCAGGTTTTACTCTCAAAATAGCAATATAATCTCTTGTGCCTCTTCCTAGTCACCATCAACAGGAAACTGCTTGCATAAGTAGGCGGCAGAACACAGTCTAGGAGTACTTTGTTTTTGTTAAAACTCCTTTTTCATGAGTAATCAGAACTTGGATAATTTGTAGCCTTTAAATATTGTGCATCAAAGGTGGATCCTTCTTTAAAACTAGGCTCTTTCTTTTCTTTCAATCAAACGCCATACTAACATTTCTTGTAACAAATGCTCATGAATTTTGAGCCTAACAGAAAATTCTCATTTTGAATATTTCAAAATAATTTTGAAGCTTTCCCTCTAAATAGACACAGACATTGCTTTACTCATCTTACTAAGTCCTTTTAAGTATTCAACTTAGAGCACCAACTGAACGTCACCCAGGGAACCATACATGACCTCATTCTAAGTTGAAGTTTGGTTTTACATCCATAAACCTTGTCAGCACACTTTCATATATTGTTTAATGCCTTTAAAATTTTCAGTGTAATTGTATTTGTGCACTCAAAGAGCCATATGTTGAAGACAGTAAGCATCAAATTTGCAAAGTAAGAATCACTCACAAAGAAATGCTGAAAATTTTCTTTTAGCTCATGCACCTTTTCCAAAATTCTTACACACTTAGGTTTAAAACAATAGAGAAGGGTGTACTGAACCCACTGCTTCACAGAAAGCTGACACGCAGGTGGGTAGTGCCTTGGATTTAATTAAAGTCACCTAGCATCATTTACTGTGGAAATGAGACCTACAGGCAAACATTTATGGATGAGGGCTTCTCTGTGAATGAAGCTCGGCATTTTCAGAACAAATTCCAGATGTAAATTTCCTGCCACAGGCTTACACAGTTTCCGCAATATTTCAAAATATTAATGTATCACTTTGAATACTTCAACCTTCATTTATTTTGGTGCTTCTTGCATTTCAGGCTTTCTGACTAGTAATATTGAATTGAGCACAGTTTAATCAACATCCAGAGATGTGTCAGCATAAAGTGAAAACCATTTTGACTCAACAATCTGGGTTAGTGTTGCTTCGACATCCTATGACCTGTCGTCATTGTGTCTCCTAATAGCAATAATTGAAAGTGGCCCCTTTCATATTCCTTTTACCTCGTTGGTCCCAAATACAATGTGGACCATTTCCTGGCAGGCTGTTAACATGTGAGATTCTGCTGGGAGGACCAGCTTAGCTTTACTGGTTAACCATGCAACCCTGTCACTAGCTGGTTGAGCTCCATCTAAGGATGTTCCAACCCATCTCGTAAAAGAGGCCAGTTTCTCAATTTGCACCTCCAGATGCTTTAAAAGGTCCAAATCTTTTGTGTGACAGACGGTTTTGAAGTCAGTTGACCAACAAAGCCTGTTGGAAAATGAAGTTTCTTTTTGATAACTTTGCCATGCAAATGGACACTAAGGCTGAGGCAGAAAGCCGAATCCAAATTTGAGACAATTCTCATTAAGTTGCTTAAATTAGGGACATCTTTGATTTCTTAGGAGGGAAGACTACTGCGTTTGTCTGGTGAGTCTCTTGATTTTCCAGCTTCAAGCAAAAAGTCCATTTTGATGGGAAAAGAAGTATATTAAAAATTAAATCTACTTGAATATAAGGTATCGAAGAGGTCAGCAGACCATTGTGACTTCTGAAAACTGTTCTTTTCAAGAAGCAAATTTTAGGTCTTCTGCTTTTTGAAGAAAGCAGCTCTCTGCAACAAAGCCATAAAGGCCCAGCTTTTCCTTTAATGAATCAATGCAGTTCAACTCCTGTCAGGCTGTATTCACTTACTGATTGTGGGTAAAATTGTAATATTTCCAGAATATCTCACCTGGCTTTAGTAAATCTGCGTATCAATAGGCGTTCAGAGGTGGAAAGAAGTATGGCTTTACTGCATTTGCATCATTCCTCAGGGGTGGAGAGAAGTTCATCTCCATATCAATGGGTAATTGCCTGGGCAACTGAGGGCTTATTTGTACCTGAGAGGGGAGGGGGAGGGGCCAGTTTTGCTTCTCTCGGAGCTGGAAAGACGGAAGGCCCCGAACTGCAGTTTGTGTTAGGCAGGAGTGGAAAGAGAACAAGGTCAGTAAAGCCCCCTTGAAAGAACTCAGTTAACCAGTTAAAACTAGAAAGCCAGAAAAGACTCAGAGTTAAAGAGTTAATCAGTAAAGCTCAAAAGGTCAAGAACAACTTGGCCTTGAATATTTGAGTATTCCCCAGATAAGGAAAAGTGTCTGAACACAGCCCATATCTTCATTGTGTCAATTAGATCATTGTAAGATTTACTCTAGCCTGCTAAGAGGCCCACCTAGAAACAGCATAAAAAAGACAGGGAGATCCCACCTTAAAGTCAAAATTGCATTTTGTAAAAACCCTGGAAGTTTAAGAAGAAAGATTCTCAACATACTCTTTAGCAAACATAACTCTGCCCACCTTGGAGGAAGGGCAGACAGTTTTGATTGATATGCTCCCAAACCAGGAAGCTGCTATCCTGGGAGGGGACTAAAGCCGTAAATTTCTTGCGTTAAGCTAATTTTGCAGAATTACCTAGAGGACTGATAAGAAACTTAATGTCTCTCCAAAGATACTTGAGACCACTTAACAGGCCCACACCCCTAGCCCTTTGTCACATTCCTGAAAAATCCTTAAAAAGGGGAACCCCCAACTATTCAGGGCACTCCTCTCTCTGGGGTTGCCCACACTTGAGTGTGTAACTACCTATTCCTAACCTCTCAGGGTGCTCCTCTCTCTGAGGTCACCCACACTTTCTAAGGGTGTAAACTTTTAATCTTAAAAACTCTTTGTCTCCAACCTTTCAGGGCGCTCCTTGAAGGGTCCCCACCAGTAAGATGGCAAACTTCCGGCTTCTCTTCGGGGTCCTCAGTTACCGCCGGCGCCACCTGAAGCCCAATCACCTCTCGCCCCCCTCCCAATCCCAGCACCTAGCCAACAGCCACCAGCCCCGTAGAAGTGACACCTCAATCAATTCATGCCCCTTCCTATATAACCCAGCACCTTTCCCTAATAAAGCGGAACTCTCCGGTGAATTGCTGCTATGTGTTGCTCCTTTCCTTTCACTCCTCTCTCTGTGAGGTCACCTGCACTTTCTTTCTAACTTTAAATCAAACTTTTACTCTCCTTCACTACTGTGTCTCTGCCCTACAATTCTTTGTCGCGGCGGGGACAAGGACCGAGGAAAGTACACAATGCCTCTCCCCCAACATAAGCAATAAATGGATTTTAAACTTTATTACTCCTTTTGACTGATTTTGGTTTTAGAGGTATTTTGCGCCCAGATTTCCTCTCCCCAGACTTACATTGGGGGAGCGTTGTGTATTTTCCTTGGTCCTTTTCCCTGCCACCACAAAGAATTGAAGGGCAGAGACACAGCAGTGTAGCAGAGTAAAAGTTTTATTTAAAGTTACTTAAAGAGACAAAATGTGCAGCAGGCAACCTCAATGAGCAGAGGCACCCTGAAAGGTTGGAGAGAGTGTTATGGGTCTCAGATCGGGCACGCCGAAGCAGGAGTAAGGAAACAGGTCCTCACAGAAACGTAGATTATAAAAAGGGAGACTTTATTTTAGCCAGCTGGAGTCTGCCAAGGAGCAAGCTCTCCAAGTGCAGCCCCGAGCCTCTGTTATAACATCTTTTTAAGCATTTTTACCACATCCTGCTTAGTTTTTGCAACTTTTCCACCTTCGCCTAAATTCAGCAAGCTATATTCTTTGTTTAATGCTCGGGGGGCTTAAGCATCCTGTTTTGCCCACCTGCTGCAGGAAATGTGTGAAACTGTTGGTCTCTAACAAAGCAATGTACAGAAGCAAAAATAGCATGGAGTTAGTTGAACATCCTGTTTCTCATGGGATTTATATCTTTTCCTTTAGTTTCTCAGAAGTTGGTACGTAACTAGGGTCTGGGGCTAACTTTACAGAGAGCTTTGTGTCCTATTTTTATGTCTGAAATTGCTTCAGCCCCTCACATTCCCCCCTCTCCTTGTAACAGAGTCAAACCATTGACTTCAGTTTTTTTTTTTTTTTGGCTTGGTAATGTTCTTTAATGAAAAGTAGCTTTACTGCCACTAGTCTCTTCTGAATATAACTCATGAGGCAATTCATAACACAGGGTCCTACAGTAACTACAAGCAGGAGGAGAGCAAGGGGACCTGCAAGGGCTGTCAGGAGGGTTGTTAGCCAAGGGGACTATGAGAACAGGCCTTGATAACAGTTTGCTGTTGCTTCCCTCTGAACCTCTTTCTTTGAGGTTCTGTCTCACCATAGCCAAGGTATCTTGAATAATGCCTTATTTGTTTGCATAGAAGCAGCAGGTTTCACTTAATGCCATGCAAAGTCTCTCTTGTTTCATAAAGAGGAGGTCCAGCCCTCTCCTATTTTGCAAGACTACCTCTGCTAGGGAGTCTACAGTGGACTCTAACTGATGGACTGATCTCTCTAACATCTCTAGATCTTCATCTACTTGTTTACTGAGCACTTTGAAATTGGCATTATTTACAACAAAAGAAGCAGTCCCTACTGCTACTGATCCTGCTATTCTCAGCCCAACTAGGAGGGACACTAGGATGGGGGCTGGTCTTTTTGTTCTAAGAGAATATATTAAGCCCATGTGTTCCCTACCAGCTTCCCCGTTATAAACTTGAGGGAGGATGTGAACCAAAATACAGAGCTCAGGTGCCCTTAGGTCTCCTACAGTAGCTGTTATTAATTGCTCAAACAAGGGGTTAATCTGCTGGTACAAGCAAACCACGTGGCAGATGGGCTAACCAGGAAGTTAATTTAACTTTTTCACTAGAGGCGGGGGAAGTGTAGTTTAGAGTAATTTCACAGAGTTTCTGAAGACAGGGATTTTTGACTGAATATGAAGGGGAATGGATGCAAAACCCTGTGCCTTGCACATCTCCCAAGGTAAGCGAGGGGTGCAATCCCCATGGGCAGGGACCTCTGTCCCTGATCTCATCTAGACTAAAAAAGCAAATGTTTTCTTCTTGTCCCAAGGTCGCATTTGCGGCTAGACTAACATAATAAGGAGGTTTGGGATTTAGGGAGAACTAGCAATCATTTGTCAAATTGACAGTGGATTAATTTACAAATCTGTAGACTGACTCTAGCATCTCAAGTATCTGGTCCGGGGATCTTGTAGTGGTCATTAACAGGCCGAGGTGAGGAGGTTCTGTTAAGCTAATATTTCCACTTGATGGCTCAGTGTGGGGCTTTGGCATTGGGGTGGGAAGTTGCAGTGTTCCTCTCGTCGGAAGGGGCACCGGATTTAACAAGGGTACCTCTCAGAGGGGGCCCACAGGGTTCAGAGGCTGGGGTATTTGAACTCTTTGGATAGTGAACTCGGTTCGTGGGTCCTGGCCCCTTATATACAGCCAGAGCCTCCAAGTCTTTCCTGTCTCCCAATCCTTTCCCACCCTATAAGGGTCCTAATTTTTAACTTTTAATTTTAGTGGGTTAATCTTTCTAGCTGTATCAAGGTCAAGGAGGCTGTCTCAAGACAAGGAAATATAGGGGTCATGGTCTGTCCATGGGGCTATGGTTTCACATCCCCAATTTGCACAATGATAGTGTCCATTTCCCTAACAGTAGGACCCCAATTTGCTGGGCAAACATAAAAAATCCCACCTTTGGAATGCTCTTTGAAAAGCCTTGTCATCCTTATTCTTAGGATACTTATAAGTGGATAGTTCTGCCCATAGTTCAAAGAGATCAAATCTAAAAACTGGGGGGTCACTTCCTGTAAAACTAACAATATTCTTTTCCAAGGCTGTATTGATTAAATTCCATGAGTAATTTCCTGGTCAGTGGGGGTGCTGGGTGGCAAGACTGGGAGCAGGTAGAGCTTCTAACAATATTGAAACAATACATCTGAGTTTTTGGTTTTCCTTTTGAGTCTTATCGTTAGTGGGTCTTGGTTGGGCGGCGGCTTCACCAGTGTCCAAGTAGTGGGGTTTTCCTCCCCCTCTCTCGCCAGCTTCAACTGTGTTTGTTGGATCCATGGTCTTATATCAGCAACCTTCACAGCTCTGGGGGTTGTCAAGATGACTGGGTAAGGTCCTTTCCACCCGGCCCCTAGCACCTCAGTCTTATGTCGTTTTACCCACACAAGGTCTCCCGGCTGGAGCGAGTGTGGTTCTGGCAGATCCTTTCCCTGTATGGCAGCCTTCACCAGGGACTGGATTTGGTCTTGCACTCTTTGTAGGGCCTGTGAGGACTGCACAATTTCTTGATTAGAGGTTTCTGTAGCTTTTTCCAAGCCTACACGAGGGAGGATAGAAGGGGGTCGACCAAACAGAATCTCAAAAGGGGTGAGCTTTAAAATATATGGGGTGCACCTTACCCAGAGAAGTGCTAAGTGGAGGAGCTGTACCCACCCTTCACCAGTTTCCAAAGTTAACTTAATAAGAGTCTCTCTCAGGGTCTGATTCATCCTTTCAACCTGGCTTGAACTTTGGGGCCTGTAAGCACACTGAAGTTTCATTGGGACATTCAGGGCACTAACAACTTCTTGGGTCAGTGGTGCCACAAAAGCCGGTCTGTTATCCGACCCCATAGAGAGAGGCAACCTGAACCGGGGGACTATTTCATTTAGAAGCTTTTTCACAGTCACTTGGGCTGTTTCTGTCTTTGTTGGGAAAGCCTCTACTTACCCAGAGAAGGTATTTACAAAAACTAACAAATATTTGTACCCATATTATCTAGGTTTTATCTTAGTGAAATCTACTTCTCAATGTCGCCCTGGGGATTCTCCTCTCTCCCTATTTCCCTGTACTTGTGTAACCTGTCGGGAGGGATTTACTTGTTGACAGACAATGCAACTTTTTCCTATTTCATGCCCCGGGGACCTAGAAGTCTTTCTGGACTAAGTCTATCATTTTATTTTTACTCAAATGGGTGCTACTGTGTATCGGTTTCAGCAAGTCCTTTCCCAGCACAGCAGGGAGCATAACTCTCCCATCAGGGTGGATCATCCAGTCTTCACTGTTTTCTTTTGCCCCATACTCTGCAGCAAACTCTAAGTCTTTTCTATTATAATGTGGCTTCTCTTGCAACATGGGTGGTGGCAAGGTCATAATTAATTCTGAGATTTTTTTTTTCAGGGCCACTTCTCCGGCTGCCAGGTCAGCTGCATGGTTTTCCGTTGCCTCAGGTGAATTTCCTTTTTGATCTCGTGGACAGTGCATTATGGCCGCTTTCTTAGGCAGCCAAATTGCCTTTAAGAGTTCTAAGATCTGGGGCTTGTTTACAGTGAAGTCATGGGTTATGCTGAGATACTCTTGCAGAACACTCAAACATTCTAGGACAAGTTGCTCCTGGCCTTTTGACTTTTTAACTGATCTCACTGAAGTTGTCTATATTCCTAGTCTGGTATCTTTACCCTGGAGAATTAGTGTGCCCTTCACTTTGCATAATGCTGAACACAGTTTTGATAGGGACTTTACACTGTTGCATTGCTTTGACTGTAAATATCTTGTCATGCTTTTTCCAGAGGCCCTCACTCTACTCTGTCTAAGCCCATGATTCTTGTCTCATTTCCCCCTCTGCAGATAGAGACTCTAGCTGCTGCTAGGGAAAGGGGGCGATGACCGCTCTGACTGCTTCATGCTGAGAAGGGGCACAGTAAAGGGTGCAGTTAGGTCTCCATCAGTAGTCAGTTGAGAGGGCCTCAGAAGATGGGCACTTCTATTTCAGGTTCCACTTCTGTTACTATTTGTAGTTTTATGGCTTCTAGGCAAGATAGAACAAATTGTGTTATTAGGTTAAATAGCAATATCTGAAGTTGAATTTTTCATTCTGGAAAGACAAACTTGATGAGATTAAGAATGCACGGTTGAATACAAGAACTAGAAATAGTAAAACTTTAACTGAAATTGTGGGAGAAAACTAACACATTTGGAGAATAATAGATATTTTGCGGAAACTAGAATTCTGGATCTAGTTTATGTCTCAATGACTAGTATTAGTATTTAGTATAGATAAAGGCTGCATTATTGAAATAACACTTTTCTCTAACATCACCCTCATTTTTATTAGAAGTAACCAGATTAAGAAAATAATTAACACTTGGCTATAAGTGCATTAAGAAGAGCAATTGATTATATAGGCTTTTTTTAAAAATGTGCTTTGCTGGAACATTTTATAAGGAGTTTCAGATTGAACTTTTAAAGGTCTCTTGAAGCCAGAAAGCCAAGCCAGGCTTGCCATCAGGTTGTACCTGCAGTACCTGTACATTTGGGTGAATTCCTCTCTTCTTGAGGTCTCCAAGACATCCTGAGGTTCCTGCACCTGCCAGGAAGTGACCTTCCTTACTCACCTGGTAAGGCTGCTGGGAATCCTGTAAGCAAGGTACCAGGCCAGTTCTTCCAAGGGGCTTTGTTGGCTTTATAAAGTCAACCTGTTCCTTAAAGCTGTCTGTTCACATCTGAGTCTACACACGTGTCTCTCAGGTATAACATTCCAGTCAAAGCCTTGGTAATATAACCAGTGTTTTTAATTGGTCCTCTTACAAGGAAAGCACATTCGTATTGAACTTATGCAAATAAACATACTGCCATGAAATATAAAAATAGTCACTGAGAGTTTTCAAATTCTGGAGGGATCAGGTAGGGAGAAAGATAATGTTTCAATTCTGCTTATAAAGACAGTCATTTAATAAACTGTTGTCAGCTTTAGAGAAAAAGCTTAAAACACTTTAAGAGCAACATTTGAAACAAAAAGCCATGAAATCATCTTCCTTAGTTTACTTAATCCTATGTAACCAATACTTGTTCTGCTGAAATCTAGTTCTTTATTAGTGTAGGAGTGCTAAAACGGTGACTATAAATGAAAAGAAGACTTACAAATGACGATGGCTAAAGATCTGACGAGAGCTTACTGTAAGACAGTTGACATAAGGAAATTGGGATAGTACTGTAACAAAAAAACATTCAGTAACAAAGTTTAGCATCATTCTCTTTAACAGTGCTTTCCAGGTAATTAAGCAGATAATTATATATCAGATAAATAAGCTAAATTAGCTAAATACTTTCCTCAATGAGAAAAAAAATTCCTCTGACCTGTTCCAGGGGCCCTCTGGAACATATCAGAGTTAACTACAGGTAAAAGCACCTTTTTGAATTTGATTTTGGAAAGTTGTCAGAAGAAAGTTTCTTTGGCACTTGCTTAAATAGGATTATAGGTTGCTAGGAAGCAATGCTTATCTATTTAACCAGAATGACATCAAAAATACTTCTAAGACAAATACAGAAGATTACAGTTAGGCAAAGTTTAGATTTTAGTCCTCTTAATATTAAGATCTCATTTTTAAAAATACTCAGACAACTCATTGAGACTTTAAGCATGAGAAACTGCTTTGATAAAACAATTAGAGAACCCTTTGCAATCTTTCAACATTAAGAGCAGACTGTTTAAGAAAACTTTGTCCTTGTAACTGAAAACAAAATTCTAATTTTGCTATATACTTGATATCAAGACTTATTTGCTTTAATTTTATATAGCATGACCATATCAATTCTTACACAAATTTTCTACAGCTTCCTTTTTACATTCAGAGTTCTTTCTCTTTAAATAAACAGCTGTACTTTAGAACAAAGTTACATTCTTTTATCAAAAGACACATTCTTTAGCATGGAGAAATGTTTTCCTTATTACTTTAAGTAGTTTTATTAGAACTTAAAACCAGTAGGAACTCTAATTTTCAGTGAACACTGAGAAATAGGCTATTGCAAACTGTTACACTAGCATTCTTTAGATTGACAAATTTATGAACATCTTATCATTTTTGGAAATGTGCTTTACAGCACAATTTCTCATTAGGCATAAAATATGTCTATATAACTTAGCAAACTTTAAGAATTTTGGTTACTAAAAAAATTCCCAGGCTGTTTGCATATATATACACTGTTATACATTAATACAGTATTATTATTAAGATGTTTATTTGCTACACTTAGTTTACTCATTCTTAACAACTATGCTAGATCACTTACAAGACCTTTACTGAATATTAGACAAAGTCAAGCCCCTAAGCATTTTATTCTTGAAAGATTTAGCAGATAACATCAACTTAAATGACTTTAGGTAAACTTAGGCAGCTGATAACCATAAGGACATGTCCATTTCAGTTTAACTTAAATGTAGCATTAATGCTTAATATCTTTTATTAGAATTTTTGGGAAGTTTTAGAATGCCCAATTTTTACAAGCGCTTGTCTTTAAATCAATTTTTATTGATACCATCTGGAAGTAGAAAAATATTTTTCATTTACACATTTAGACACACAAACATACAGATTGAGACGTAATGACTACAGTTAACAATACTTCTCATACAAGAACATATAAAAGACACACTATACCGCTTGCACACATCAGGTGGCCACCACAGAACCAGACAGATGGGGAGGTTGATGTCTCGCCTCTACCCCTGACTCAGGGAGTAATGCTGTGTCCAGCCTCCCCACTGAGTTGAATCAGTGCTCAAACCAGAACCAGAACCAGAACCAGACTCACCTCCGGAGGATTTCCAGATGGCTCCTTAAGAAACTCTGACAGTTGAGGATGTGCTGATACCCGTGGGCCCACGGGTGGTCAGCGATCTCAAGGTCTCAAAAGAACTGCTCAATGATCATGCCTGATCCCGGACAAGCCCCCAAATGTTATGGGTCTCAAATCAGGCATGCTGGAGCAGGAGTAAGGAAACAGGTCCTCACAGAAACGTAGATTATAAAAGGGAGCCTTTATTTTAGCCGGCCAGCGTCTGCCAAGGAGCAAGCTCTCCAAGTGCAGCCCCGAGCCTCTGTTACAATATCTTTTTAAGCATTTTTACCACATCCTGCTTAGTTTTTGCAACTTTTCCACCTTCGCCTAAATTCAGCAAGCTATATTCCTTGTTCAATGCTCGGGGGGCTTAAGCATCCTGTTTTTCCCACCTGCTGCAGGAAACATGTGATACTGCTGGTCTCTAACAAAGCAATGTACAGAAGCAAAAATAGCGTGTAGTTAGTTGAACATCCTGTTTCTCATGGGATTTATATCTTTTCCTTTAGTTTCTCAGAAGTTGGTATGTGACTAGGGTCTGGGGCTAACTTTACAGAGAGCTTTGTGTCCTATTTTTATGTCTGAAATTGCTTCAGCCCATCACAAGAGAGAGTTTAAGATTAAAGGTTGTGCACTCAGAAAGTTTGGGCAACCTTAGATGAGCACCCTGAAAGGTTGGGAGTTCCCCCTTTTAAGGATTCTTCAGAAATGTGTCTAAGGGCTGGGGTTGCAGGCTTGTTAAGTGGTCTTTGAATACTTAGAATTAACTTAACACAAAGAATTTCCTGCTCTGATTTCTCCCTGGGATACCTGGTGTTCTTGGTCTGGGAGTGTATCAAACAAGACTGCCTGCCCAGCTCCCAAGGTGGGCTGAGTTATCTGTTTGGTAAAGAGTAAGTTAAGAATCTTACTTATTAACTTCCTTGGTGTTAACATGCAATGTTATCTTTAAGATGGAATCCTTCCTGCCTTTTACTATGTTGTTTACGGCTGGGCCTGCATGCTAAATTATTTGCCTAGGTTGCAAACTACTTGATTAGGGTGGAAGGAGAAAAAAACAGCATATAGGTAAAGGTAAAAAATGAGCTGGGTCTGCATGATTAACACAATAAAGACATGGGCTGTGCTGAGGTACCCTCCTTTACCTGGGAAATATTCAAACATTCCAGGCCATGCTGCTCCTGGCTTTTTGAGCTTTAATTGATTAACTCTGGGTCTTTTTAGTGGTTTTTCCTGGCCTTTTTCTCTTTCCACCCCACTCATACCTATTTTCCTGCCTAACAGTCTCTAGGGTTTTCTATATATAGTATTATGTCATCTGAAAATAGTGACATTTTTATTTCTTCCTTACCAGTTGGAAGACTTACCTCTTTATCTTGTCTGGTTACCATGACTAGGACTTTTAGTACCATGTCGACTAAAAGTGGGAAGAGTGGGCATCCTTGTCTTGTTCCTGATCTTAGTGGCAAAGCTTTCAGCTTTTTGTCATTGAGTATGTTAGGTGTTGGTTTGTTATATATTGCCTTTTTTATGTTGAGGTATGTGCCCTCTATGCCCATTTTGTTGAGTGTTTTTACTGTGAAGAGGTGCTGAGTTTTGTTAAATGCTTTCTCAGCATCTTTTGAGGTGATCATGTGGGTTTTTAAAAATTAAAGTATCATTGATATACAGTCTTTTTTTTTTGAGAGGGCATCTCTCATATTTATTGATCATATGGTTGTTAACAACAATAAAGTTCTGTATAGGGAACACAACGCACAATCATTAATCAACCCCATGCCTAATTCTCAACAGTCTCCAATCTTCTGAAGCATAATGAACAAGTTTTTACATGAACAAGTTCTTACATAGTGAATAAGTTCTTACATGGTGAACAGTGCAAGGGCAGTCATCACAGAAACTTCAGTTTAGATCACGCATTATGAACTATAAACAATCATGTAAATTATGATTATTCGTTTGATTTTTATACATGATTTATATGTGAATCCTACATTTCTCCCTTATTATTATTATTATTATTTTTAATAAAATGCTGAAGTGGTAAGTAGATGCAAGATAAAGGTAGAAAACATAGGTTAGTGCTGTAAGAGGGCAAATGTAGATGATCAGGTGTGTGCCTATAGACTAAGTATTAATCCAAGCTAGACAAGGGCAACAAAACATTC